CGAGGGATGGCAAGGTCGTCGGCCCACGCCACCTCGGAAACCGTGACGGAGGAGCGCGAGTCCTCGCAGGTGCACGCCTTCAAGACAAACTCCCCGTCCCACGGAAGAACAGGGGCGCATGAGTGCTCAATGGCCGAACTGCGGAGGGCATCACGAAGTGCCAAAACTCTCGGGATCAGAAGTGCGAAAACTACGTCTGCAAAAGCCGATCCCGGCCTGGTTCCCCGATATGTCCTCACCGGAACGACGTCGTTCTTGAGGATAAACCAGTTCCCGCCGGAAATGTTATCAGCCAGGGCTTCAAGCCATGCGTTGGATCCAGCAGTATGCATAGCCGAGTCCGCTTGCAAGTGAGCACGGATGTCGGCCACATCCTCTGCAGTGAGGTTCGGCTGTCCAGTAATTTGGCAAAGTCCGGATCCGATATTGTGCCGTTGCATGATGCGATCAACTGGGTGATCGCCCCGTAGAACGCTGACGCGATGTCTGCGAACACAAGGAAGCTGGGCCTGCGCTGGAGAGATGCAATGCGAGTCACGCACCGGGCCAGATGGGCCCCAAAGACCACACTGCAACCAGTGCGCCCTCCCAGTTGCAAGGGCGGCGCCGTCCTTTCGAAAAACCTCTTTAAAGGAGGCCTCAGGCACTGGTGTACCGATTTGGCCATACAGGACAAGAGCAGCACTGCCCTATAAGAAGAGCAGTCGCTATACGCGCCTCGTTTCTTATGAAAGAAGACGGAACAGCCTCCTTTCCACCCCACCACTTCCTGTCCTAGCCACACATGTTTGAGGGCCAGCGGGTGCAAGGCGGCGGCCAGCTCAGGCGAGAACGTCTTACACAGTTCGGGCGGCAGCGCATCAAAGCCCGGGGCCTTCCCGAGCTTCGCCGAGGCTAGAGTCCTTTGCAAGAATGCCTCCGTTGGGGCGCAATCAGTATCCTCAGGATGTGGCCAATGCTCCTGCTGTGCGCCAGAGGTGGCGAGCGCCTCCTCTACGAGGGCCAGCACAGATGTGGCTCGGCCAGCTTCGAGGGCCCCGAAATGGCTTCGCCATCGCTCGAGAAGCTCGCCTTGATCCGAACATACTGAGCCATCAGCCTTCTTGATTCCTGGGGGTGGCTCCAGCTGGAACGGTTTCTTCCTCTTGTGTCCTAAGAGTCTGTGGTAGGCTGCATACATAGCGCGAGACGACCCATTTTCAAACTGTAGGGCGAGGTCATTGGTATATGCATCTCGGTCGGCACGGCAAGCCTCACGCAGCGCTTGGCCCGCGACCTTTAGATGATACACCCCAACTACAAGAAGAAACCGGACCTGATGCACCCAGCGGTTATCAAGAAAGGCCCCTTCGAAGTTGGTAGCGGAGCTTTGCCACGCTTTAAAGGCT